TAATTTTTTTGAAGGAAAAGAGTATTTTATTCTGTCCTTATGTACAGATATCACGCAAAAACATCGTTAAATTGCATTCGATAGCGGTCAAAATGGATATTTTCGTTGAAATATGCTGCCTGAAACTTTTCGCGATTACAATACTTTTCCTTTTTACTTCGTACAAGGAAGTAAAAAGGACAATCAAATATTTAGAAGCCTAAAGTATTTTATTAAATATTTCTAATCCTTTTCGATCAGGAGTGTTTACTTAGAATTTGTTGTCTATGTTATTGACAGACTTAAATTATCACGTTATTTAGCAATAATATGTATGATGATTATGAAAACCTTCTTTTACTTTTGATTTTACGTTTTTAAATTATCAAGAATTATTACAAAATAGCTGCTTCTGGGCTATTACATGTATTCCCATTGACACCAGCTGCAATTCGCTCAGTAATCTTGCATGTCCAGCTGAGCAAATTTGAAGCAAATATTATTGCATTGCACTCACGATCAATCAAGTAAAACACAGATTACCGGAAAACAAGTGTGATCAGAAAACGGCTGCGTAAAATTGTAATCAAGCCACGGGTACTGCAAAAAATTAATTACTGACTATACTTATTTAGTTCAAGTGCAAACATTTTATACTTCAATTTGTGTACGACCATGAATAAGAGTTTCAGCTTTAAAATGAAAGAGGTCGGCCATTTTTCGCCATGGGATCCAAACATTTCGTAATTTAATTTTTACAATGATTATAAAATTTTCTTAAACATAAATATAGACACCAGGGAAACGTACAAAAATTTAAATTTCGCAGTTTTTATGGAGGACGGAGAGACGAGATTTTCGGCGCACCAAAATTTAAAGTTAACTTTAGGTTCCACTAGGCAAAAGACACTGAAGCTGATGCACCAGTTGATTTAATTCACTGTACTACTAAGAGTTTAAAATGTAAACAAATAGCCGCCATGTTAATGGTGTCTAGCGCCGCGTCACCTTGCACAACTTTAAAAATTGTTGATAATTCTACAATTATTGCATGCAGATTAACTAAAGGCATAAAAATCTTAACCGGAATATATATACAACAAATTCAATTACTTTTAACCCTTTTCCAACCAGCCGTTTTCCTAAAAAATATGGTGAATTAGGGCTTTAGAAGGTCAAATAGAGGAGGAATAGCAATATTCTGCCAAAATAAAAATAGAAATTATCTGTGGGGGCAGTTATGGAGGTGGGAAATATGTCTTTTTAGCTGGAACACATATGTCCCAATGATGTTGAGGTTTAAACCGCAGAGCTGGCTTCCGCTCCGGATATATCTGTGATACCCATACAGAATTGAGTGCCAACCCAGCAGGGAGCTCACCAGTGGCCGAGCGGTTAAAGCCGCTGAACACTGGTAGTTCGATCCGGGGTTTGAGTCCCGGGAAACGGGCTAGCTGCATGGGCGTCTTCGTGGTTTTCCCCATGGGTAACGTAAATACGAGTCAGTTTCCCTCAAAAAGACCTCCACGGGGCATCCCTCCCTTTCCGTGTAGCGCCTAAGGGCGAAGCACGTAATAAGAAAAAAAAAAACAGGGATATGCCAGAGAGGACCATCCCACGGTAATATAACTCCGTGGAGACGGCAAATTTAATATTCTATTTCTGAAAAAAGGGGAGGCTTCACAACAGGAGCACGGTTACGGGGCCCTTGAAGAGTTGCTAACATTCTATTGTCATACTACATAAATAAAGTAATAGGGGATTACGAGTGAATATGAAAATACTTACATTGTTGTTGCATTACATATGATTAAGAGATACAAGTGCGCAGATTTACATAGAATTACAAAGTTAATAATAAACATTCATATGATATTGGTACAATTATATACATAGAAATTCAAACAATACATAGAGAAATGCTAGTGGTTACCACCAATAGGGTACAGACAGAACAGTGTAGGAGCTTTACGAGTATACATTAGTTGAGAGTTATGTACTGTGTGCTGTAGTTCATATGCTTGTGCACACCTCCATATGAAGGTGATGCATTACAATGTAATTACCAGTTGATAGTCAGAAGTGGGTAGCTGTGCAGTAGCTTATGTCTCTAATTAGTAAGTTTTGATGAGTCGATGTTGGCCATAGTCACTGAAATACGATGTTCGAAGCCAGCAAATGTTTGCCGGTGTGTATACACTGACGATATAAAGTACAGAGGTGACGAGATAAAGTACAGAGACAAGTCAGTTCCCTATTTCTAAATTTTCTAATACTTTTGAAACAATTTTATTGCAAGAGACCTATACAAAGTTATTCGTGACATTTCTGTGTATGGTACACTGCAAAACAGTTTTTACACTACAGAACTGTTTTTGCACTTTTTAATACATGTCGCAAACAGTTCTTGAAGAGAAGATCTCTTCTGAATCCATTTTAAATCAGTTTTACAATCCGTTCTAGAAAACAAATTCCTTTGTTCTCTCTTTACGTACAGGTGTCATGCAAAAACATCGTCTAAAATATATTCGAAAGCAGTCGAAATGGATATTTTTGTTGAAATCTGATACAGAACTTTTTCCTGATTACAATACTTTTTTTTTACATTATAAGGATGTAAAAAGGACCAAACTTGAATATTTACTCATTTTAAACATATTTGTAAGTATATGTATATTACCAAAGGTCGAGAAAGTCAAGGCCATGTAAAGCCTTTAGTGTATAAAAAAAAAGTAGAGATTTATGACCCCTTTAATGAAACATATTCCATTCGACAGTTTAGTGCACTCAGCGATTTTCTCCCTTTTTATTCCTGAAGTGTCAGAGGCTCATAAAAAGCATTCATTTTACAGTTACTTAACAATCACTAAACAAGTAATGATGAAGATAACTCCTCCAAGCATTGTGTTGTCAAAAGCGCAATTGTCGCGCATGTAAAATGTGTTCAGTCGTGTGGAATAATGTGTAGCTTTGTAATATGATTTATCTCTTTAAATATAATACTTCGGTTAATCTTTGGATTATAATAACTTGGCGATTTTTTGGCGAAATTTTGGCGACTAACCCTGCTACAGCAACCTGCTAGTTTTTGATTGGACGCCATTTTGTTTTCACGAAGCAAAGGCCTTTCCCCCCCCCTCAACATTTTCTTCCAACAATCTGCTAGCCGAATTACGCTTATGCTAGAACTTTTATAGAACAAAAGTGCTTAATTATGACGAAAATTAGGTGCGAAATAAATTGGGAGAAAGTGCAGAATCGCAAACTGCTTGCCGCGTTTTTAAGAATTGCACATACACGGTATCCATGTACACGTCGACCTCTTTTCACTTAAAAAAACATCCCAGAATTCCACAAAAATGGCATTGCACACACTCTTGACTTTATCCACGTACACCGCTAAAGTCCTAGCTAGTAACCTTTATCGCCTTACCAAAATGTCGCCAAACTACCTGTTACCATATTCCAAAGATTAGCCAATACTTCTTATGTTAATTTTGTACTAACACATTGTTATGTTGTCAGGAGATGTATTCGGGAACTTGCTTCGGGAACATACTGTATCCTGAATAAGAACAGGGAGCTTACTAAAGCTCTGTTCCAGTTTGTGTGGAATAGACGACACAAGCAGGAAGGGTATACTAAACCCTTTATTCTCTATTACTTTACAGGTACTCCCGAACTTCGGGATACAGAGACCAACCACTTGTGGTCTGAACGTAAAAATATATAACTACTAACTAAAACCAACTAAAAGCTAACTTTGAATTAGTATACAAATGCCTAGCACTAAGACTGGCCTTTAATTAAAAGGGTACGTATGTAGTACGCCGAGCTGCCGAAACTACAATACGTTTTCAAATATCAAGAGGGCTAAACCTCTGACCTTAAAGGCAAACAGCAACCGAGTGTAAAACTCGTAAGACTGCAGTGGCAAGCGGCTCGCTTCCTAAATCTCCTTCTCTCTCTCACTCTTGGAACTCTGGAACTTTGCGGTTATACTGGCTTTCAGCAGGAAATTAAAATCCTGATCTTGCCAGTTCCTGATGTGATCCCATGTGGGGCCTGACAGAGTAGAAACCTGAAAGAAATTTTCTCTCGTGGAGGTAGAAGTGTGCTGGAGAGAGAGAAAGAGAAAAAGAAGCACCTCCACGAGAGAAAATTTCTTCCAGAGTAGAAACCTGAAAGAAATTTTCTCTCGTGGAGGTAGAAGTGTGCTGGAGAGAGAGAAAGAGAAAAAGAAGCACTTTGCTCCTGTACTCCTACATCTTGGATGGAATCAGCCAAGAGGGACCGGAGAAAGAAACTTCGGATGACCTGTATAGGATAGCCCGAATACTAACTGTTCATTCGTCGGATCCAGTCACGTGCGAGGTCTCACTCTTGGCAAAAAGCCACAACTTAAATACTTGGGCGTTAGCAATACGATTTGCATAAACAAGTTAAAGCATTTAATTCTGGCCGGAAGTAGAAAATAAGAAGATAGTACAGTTTCAAAATAAAAATAAACGTTAGTGAAACTTAGGATCCTTACAATGTTACAAAACATATATTCATTTACAGAGAATTTTATGCTTTGCTTTGATATGAAAATGCTTATGGAAATATATCATGTCCACATTTCATCATTGTGTATTCTGTTACAGATTGTATATTTCTAATAGATTTTGTATAATTAGGATAGTGTATCTGTGTGTAATGTATTCATTATTTTGTGTCTTTCCTTGCATGCAAATAATATAATGCAGAAAGTTGAATTGTTTGTACAAATTGCACGTTCTTCTTACTTGCTAGACCTCTTGCCATTACGTGGCCGACAAATTTCCAACTTTAGGTGCACATGCCTGGTTTGCACCCCAAGCACAGACCCGGCGGATATGGCACGAGCCTTTGTGTTTACTGTTAAGAGATGGTTCCGATAATGGGCCCTATTATCTGTGGCAAAAAAAAAAAAAAAAAAAAAAAAAAAAAAGAAAGAAAGAAAGCTCTGTATTTGAATAACAAATCTTTTCTTTTTTCAGGTTTTGTTTTGGACATCTACTTACGCAAAATGCTTTGTGATTATATGCAAAACCTTCTGAACACATCTCCTTACTCAGTACTTATTACAGCAATAGTTATCCTATTGACTTTCATTTACTACATTACAAGAGACAGGGGACTACCTCCTGGGCCCACTGGAATACCTTTATTGGGAATTTATCCATTCCTGAAGGAGAAAAATTTGCATCTGCAGTTGGAAGAGTACAAAAAGAAGTATGGAGACATCTTTTGCTTCAGAGTGTGTAGTCAGCTGTTCATCAATCTGGGAAGTCTGAAGCTGATCCGAGAAGCCCATCTTTCTAAATCTGAATATTTTAATGGCAGATGCACTGATTTCAATGTATTTGCTATGATATTCGACGGCGGTAATAATGTAAATTTTAATGTTTAAAGCTTTTTTATTTAGAAAGAATGTAAAAAGAAGTATTCGTGTTATGTATTGAAATCTATAATTGATGAAATTTGAAAGAATATAATATAGTTTTTTAAAGCCAAACTATATTATATTGTGATAAAAATATACCATTATGATAACAGCAAAAGAGTGCATTTTAAAGGCATATTTGTATAATTACGATAGCTGTGTCACTTAGTTTCTTTGTTAGCTTTTGATATTCGATTTCAGAAAGATAATTATATATAATGAATGTTAGAACTTCTAAAGGTATGAATAAAACAAATGGATCATAAGAAATATTATCCATTCATTTCATTTCATTTGCTTAAATGAAAAAGTGATGACGAAGCTAAAACTTTTCCCCGGGAGAAACGAGGGTATGGAATAGTATTCAAATCTAAACTCAATCTTAACCAAATGCGTAGGGAGCGAAACAGATTCGTGACATCGGGCAAGGCCCACCAGCGGCCGCTGGTAAAAGGCCGCTGATTACTGGTAGTTCGGTTCAGGGGTTCTCTAGCTATGCCATTCTAACCATTATCCCATTTACGTAGAATTATTTATTTTAATTTTACAAATATAAACAAGTTTTCAGAAATTAAATCACAGATTTGCACAGCATTTCGATTTTAATTAATGTGGTGGCCTTGCTTGATTTACTGATGCAGTTTTGCTTTTAATATTAATGTAAGTGCTTTTATATTAAGGCATAAAGTTCCTTAATTTAATTCCTTAGAAAGTCCTCCACGAAGGCATTCCTTCCCTTAGGCAGATAGCCCTAGTGTGCTTTGCCATGTAATACCCACCATCCTTATTAATTCTTTTTAGTCAATTGAACCGTTCTTAATTTGTGCAGATTTTTTCTTCTTTACTTTTTTATTGCCAGTTAAAAATTGGATTTAAAAAAAAATTATTAATTTTAAATAAAAAATAATTTTGGTATTCCAATTCTATAAATTAAAAAAAAAAAAAAAAAAATCTGAAATGTTTCAGATTTTAAATTACGTCCAAAGGGGCGTTTTTTTAACATTTTGTGTGTACCTTTCTTTATTAAATATCATGTTCCTCGCACTTAAACCATAAGATCCAGTGCAACAGCAATATCGCAAAATAGTTTTTAAAACGAGCATATCTTTAGAATTTCCGATACAGAGACTCACGCGCTGGAGATAAAAATGTTTTTTCTGCACAACGTTGCCATTGCTCGCTTTGAAATCCTTGAGTTTGTTAATCAAAAATTCGTCAAAGTTTTAAAAAATAGGAAATCGATCATAAAACAAATTTCAAATTTCAAATTTGGTCTTCCACATGCTCATATTCGTTGGAGGATTACGTTATTCAAAATTCGATGACTCTATGTACCGTTATTTTATGACAATGTGAGAAATATACATACATTTACGCAGATTTTCATTATTTAATTTCTTCAAATATAATGCAGGACTCTAACATTTTATGGCAACAGTTTGAAAAGTGAACCGACATTTATCCGTCCGACGCAAAATGCCAAAACGAAACTAATAGTCCTGCGGGATTCAAATCCCTTTGGACTAATTAGAAAAATTGGAAGATTTTTTACGTCAAAGGCTATTTTATCTTTTGCTTTCAAATATTCTGCCTAGCCGGTCAAAAACTGCACAGTACCTTTTTCCTCCGAACGATCTTCGCTCTCTTGAGGACTTTCATGTTGCATTGCATAAGAGGTACTACAGTTTAAACATAATTTTACTGACATTATTTATGTATATACAAAATTCTTAAGAGTATTTATGCGAAATTAGAAGCTGATAAGATCCAAGTGTTTAAAATGTTGGAAAGACCTCTATTCTGAAAATGAAGACTAGTTTTACCTTACTTACTGTATGCATTGTATTATGTTTGAGTTTACAATCATTATACCTTTTGAAATTTCAATATAGGTGTCGTTTTTATGAATGGTGAGCCATGGAAAGTTCTTCGAAAATTCTTCCTTAATGTTTTTAAAGACATCGGTATGACCTCTATGAAAGGTAACTTGACAGGAGCCACTTACGATAATATCAGCTCCTTTACAGATGACCTGCGTAATCGAAACGGTGAGCCAGTTGATGTCATCAACTTGGTGAATAACAAGTGTTTGAGCACTGTGCGTATGACATTTTTGGGAGAAGATGGCATCACAGATGATGAGCTGCGAAACTTTATGGAAGCATATGCTTTATCACTGGAAGCTATGGAAGGAACTGGAACACTTCTTTATGGAAAAATAGCAAGGTAAAGTTTTTATTGTTCTTTTATTTTATTGTATTTTATTTATTTTTTTTTTTTTATTTTATTTTATTTATTTTTTTTTTTTCCATCTCAGAAGTAGCGGTTATATAAAAAAAACACATTACTGCATTTATAACCTGCATAGGGAACTCTAAACCATAATCATTTGTAAGTTTAGAATATCGTTAAGGCAAAAATTCATTTAATATATTTAACTTGTCGAACATCATAACTGTAGTTAATCTAATCTGCCTATGCAGGGAGATGTACATTAGCTTACATTTAGGCAAATTTTATTCAACATTAAAACTATTTTTCTTCATAAGATTTCATTTTAAAAGAACCATCAGTATCTGCGTAGACAGCGAACCTAGAAAATCGGCTGTACCCTCGCTGTGAATTACAAATATGGATATTCCAACTTTGTTACCTAAGCAGGCTTGCTTTAAAAAAAAAAAAAAAAAAAAAACGTGCAGGAAAGAATACGATAATTCAAGGGGAATAATGTACATGGGGGAAAAGTGCTTGAATAAATCTGCAAACAAAGTTGGTTGTATTCAATGCAGATGCGCACAAGAATATTATTCTAGGGTTTCGAGAAAAGTGGGACATAATTTGGGATACGTATGTACTTCCGACCCGAACGATTTCGCGGAATGAGGAGTTCGAAGTTTTTTCTTTCTGTAGTCATCTGAAGCCATGATGCGCACAAGAATATTATTCTAGGGTTTCGAGAAAAGTGGGACATAATTTGGGATACGTATGTACTTCCGACCCGAACGATTTCGCGGAATGAGGAGTTCGAAGTTTTTTCTTTCTGTAGTCATCTGAAGCCATGATTTTGAAGTGAACCTCGAAGGCTTTTATAAATCACGTTTGGTTTAACTAAAATGCGGTTGATACAGTATTCCTTTTAATAGTAAATATGGCTTCTGCCGAACGAAACAAACATATTGTTGATTAAGTGCAAAGTCCATTCAGCTTGCAAAAGATGGTAATCGTGCTGCTGCAGCTGATGTTTGATATTGGTGAAAGCTCCATAAAATCACTAGTAACAGCATTTAGGTACATGTAAATATCAAATTATTTTATACTCATCATTTTCTTCTTTTTAAAACTATCATTTTTACATCCTGCGTATAACGCTTACCCGTTTTGTTCTCATTTTTTATATCAAAAGTTCACGTTATACCCCGGAATATATGGTACGTTGACTTGTTGTAACCTGCAGTCACATAATTTGACCAACAGCAGCCTTGATGGTACTCCAAGGTGCTTTGGTTTAATTTTAAAACACTATCTAAATCTAGTGCTTCTTTGTTACTGCTGATCTATGTATAAGACGACAAGTGACTTCCAACCTGCAAACGAGTTACGCTGTTGATGGTCACCTTCCCCTGTAATTTATGATATATCCAACTGGTAAACAACTACAGCATTATTTTAATTAAAAAGTATACTCTGTTATTACACGGTATACTCTGTTATCGGTACAGAATCGCTTAGTTTTAATCCTCTTGGCTTTCAGACTCTTTTTTTCTATTTAACTCAACTTGAATGTCTATTGGTGCCCCAGCTTTCGTTAACATAGTGAGTGTACAAACTGAACAGTTTCATACATTATTCACTCTAAATTTTGCTTTCATTAATTAAGTTAAAATTCGTCAGTGTATCAATGTTGTTAATCAAATGTGAGCGAAAGTTCAAAATTCTGTATTTAAAATATAAGCGCTTATAGTATGTTATATGACTATACTGATATGAGACTAATAAACATGGAATTTAACATCATTCAAGACTCATTTTTGTACTTAATGTACGAGTATAAAAGTTAAACAGTATCTTTTGAACAACGGATATGGCAGTTTTGCCTAGTTTCCAACGGATATGCTCGTACAGTAATGACACTAATTCCATATTTTAACTGGGCATTATTAATCTTAATACTCATCTATTTCAGGAATTCTCCAGTGTTTTTTGTGACTCTGAACAATCCATAGAAAGAGGATATTTAAATGCGTGGTCTGGACATGCGGATGATTGATGACTTAAATGCCAAAAGCCAGGCATTTGCAAATACATGCACTAGCTGAAGGCATTAAAGGAACAGCTAATAAATTCATGAAAGTTAAATGATTTGAAGTTTTGCGTAAGAGCTTTTTTTTTTTTTTTTTTTTTTTTTTTTTTTTTTTTTTTTTTTTTTGGCATGCCTGACGTATTTTTAAAATATAGAACTGCTTATTTCTGTAACAAAAAATAGATAAAAAAACAGGAAATTTTTTATAAAGTTGGATAGGAAAAATTTGATGTTACAGTTCTTTCGAGATTAGTAGAAACTATTAACAAGATGTATAGTCAAACCCTGACACTATACACCCTGATTATACACCCTGATGTATAGTCAACCAGCGTTTGTTTCACACGAACAACTGTTTCGGACAATTTTTCTGCCTGGTTTACTATTGAAAGAAAGACGTGCGACTTTTTCCTACCTTTCGAAAAAAGTTGCAAGTTTATCGTTTTCAACGAATCAGCTATCAGCGCCGAATGTTGTTAGCTGGTTTGTAATGGAGAACCAGTATTTCCTGTGTTAACCCCAAAGCGATTTGTGGTGATTGGCTGTTGTGACAAAGCAGAAAAATTGTTCCAAACAGTTGTTCTTTCGAAACAAACCGACTTGTGATAGCAGCCTTCATGCGTTCTACACATATTCTATCGATTTAACCTTTTGGCGGTTGCCAGGTAGTGCAATTCTTTTTTCCAAACACGCGCGATATCTGTCAGTCACAAATTTTCAATGCGATCTTTGATCGTTTGCGCCCACTGCGCTGCGTACCTCAAATGTGAGTGGTGCTCGTTGATAACCATCAAAAGGTTAAATCTGGAGATTATGTGAGTAACTTCATTCACTGGGTTCCTCAAGCAAATCAATCAGTAACGATATATTTCAGCATTTATAGTTGCATTTGTCAAAATGTTGTAGGTCAGTGCACCATTTAAAATGATACCCGCCTATACTATGATGCCACCACCTTTTTACCGATGCTTCTCATGAATGTTTTCAGTCTAATTGCGTGTGTTTTGCTCCTTTCAGGTTTCAAAACTTCTAGAATAACTTTCAGACATAAACAGATCTCATCATAGAACTCATCTTCATTCCGAGGTACGTGGTAAACTAACCACAGTGATCTCTGCAGAGCTGCAACTGAGCGCATTTCGCAGCCCACGTTAGTGGAACAGAAATCTTAGGTTTCTTTGCTAACAACCCTTTTTTATGCAGCTTGTTACTCACAATATACCTACACAGCGGGGTTCCTGGAGCTGCAGTGTCTGCAGTCAGTTGTATTTTCACTTAGCAGTCATTGCCAAAATACGGTCCTGAGAGTCTGTTGAATGTTGAGGCAAGTTTTCAACACTGCTTCAGTTGTCTGAATGCCCCTTTTATACCTTTAAGTCGTTTCTAGATTCTAGACACGATGGTTTTATCTATCTACTTTTATGTTTTTACAGCCATATATCAGTGTCTGTCTTAATTCCATTCTTCCAAACGCACGCCATATTTCACAGTCCGTCAAATGCCAACTTAACGGTAAGTTCCGCCTACCACACGCAAATATTTTATCCCGCTGTTCATAATACCACCTTAGAAACTAGAATCTCAACCATGCTTTTGTACAATTTTCTACTCTTGCCGGAACCACGGGCTAAAAATTTTGCATATCTCTCTGCAACAAAGGTGAATCCTACTAAGCTGCATGCAACTATCTTTGATTGGACTTCATTCAATGGAATTAACATTGCACCTTTTTATAGCTGTTCCATTATTTTTCCCTCCAGTGTACATAGTGCAGATGGCAAGGGAAATATTAACGTTGAAATTGTCCCTCTCGAATATGTTGTCTCCGTTTTTCATCAGTTCTGTAATCAATGACCTGGCAAATAGATGTAATTATTTTCATAAAGTTTTTGTTGAATGATTTTCTAATCATTTGATTTTACTAATTTCGGTAATAACCATCGTTTGGTATTTTGAATCGGGCTATTAAAAGTCTTTCCGTGAGTCATAGTTTTTAACTTCCATGATTTCTGTAAACTGATATAAATACTTCAGCTTTGTCTTTAACGTCTTAATATTTTTTAACATTGTAGGTATTTGATCCTTCCTTCCAAATCTGGTGGTCGCAATTTAATTTCCTCCCAGAAGCGTATGGAAGATATCTTATCTAAAGTAATAGATCGACATGAGAAGACTCTTGATGAAAATCACATTCGGAACATAATTGATGCTTATTTGAAAGAGAGGAATGAGCGAAGACGAAAAGGAGATCCTACAGCTGAATATTTCACAAGTATGAATGAAAATTAATCTTGATTAAATCGGTTATTTTAATTATTGTTTGACTACTTCTACGCAAATCAGGCTGGCTCTGTCAAAATCTTAGACTCTTGTAGCATGGGTGATAGCTAGAAAACCGCTCTAGGGAAGGGTACCTTACTATTTTTATTGTAAGGCCTTTCTGGTTATGAAATGTTTAGGGCAAATTCGTTACTTTTATGAAGTGGTCAAACTTCTATAAAGAATGGGCATGTATTCAATAACTGCGTAATTTATTTCGAATAACTATCATTTGTACAGAGATGTGTCTTATACTGTTTGTATACTACCTTTCAGATTTCTGTGTTTAGCGTATGTTAAAAATTAAAAGACGCATATTCTATTAAGTTCCTATATGACAAATATTGGACTGAAGGTATGGTTACAATTTTCTGAAAAGTAAACATTTGCCAAACACTTTTCCATCAGCAAAGATTTTACAGTTTCTTTCTTTTAATAAAAAAAGTTATGGAGTTGTAGTGTATATGTAGGCATTTAGATTTAAGTACCTTCCACAAAATGATCATGTATATACTTGACCATATTCGATAAGACCGTAAAATATAGAATTTAAAAGGAAAACTGACTAAAACTATATATATATATTTCCCTTGAAAACCAAAATAAACTTCGAATTGGGCTAATTAACTATTTACCGCTTCTTAATTTTAATATATTTTTTATATTTTACCTTGATCAATTGATTAGTATTTTACTGTGTTTTATAATCTACTTTTTTCGTTTAGCATATAGCCTACTCTCTTTATTTTACTTCGTTCAATTGATTTGTTTTTTTACTGTGTTAAAAATTACCTATTTGTTTCGCATATAGCTTTTTTATTAATTTAACTTGTAAATATTCAAATATTTTTCTCCTCTTTCACACATTTCATAGCAAATAATGTGCTTATGTTGGAGTTTTCTTTCTCGAGCCCACAGTTTTTGGTAACTTTTTGGCGTGCGTACTAAAATTTATCTTCTAATTTCCTTCATTTTGCAGCACAATGCGCAAAATTTTGACCAAAAGTCTTTTTTCGTTTGTTCATACAACCTTACTTATAATTATATATATACACAAATTATTAAATATTTGCTTTATTAGAATTATAAATTTGTATGATTAAAATTAATTTGGGATAGGCGGCCTCCAGAAAATCGTCTCGCAACTGAATGAAACTACAGTTTTAAACGCTCGAAATCAAAGCAGGTACAACACAGACACGTCAGATTACTTACAGTTAACCCCCTTCATCAGGCTCGCGTCGGCGAGGAGTCGAACAAAGGGATGACCTATCCCTTCTATTTATCCCTGCATACAAACGTACATACAATCGGCCGCACCAAAAGTATATAATTATATATATATATAACGATTGAATGATAGTGTTATAAAATAACATTGATGCGAGATGATAATGTTATAAAAAACATTATCATTCAATCATTTTGAATGGAAAAAAATTTACAATTTACCGACATATAAGAATAAAAAGATTTGAGCTCATGAATCCGAGTAACAGAGTGAGTATATATATATATATATACTCACTCTGTCTGTAAATTGTAAATTTTTTTCCATTCAAAATGATTGAATTATAATGTTATTTTCTTCCAATTAAGATTTTTATGCCTGTTGTTAACCTGCATACAATAGTTGTAGAATTATCAACAATTTGAAATTTGTTTACGTGCGGCTGAGCCTAATTTTTTTAACCGTAGCAGCCATATTTGTTTACATTTGAATCTTAGCAGAACAGTGAATTGAGTCAGTTTCTGCATTTTCAGTGTCTTTTTGCCGAGTGGTACCAAAAGTAAACTTTCAGTTTTGTGCAACGAAAAATCTGTCTTCTTGCCTGCTGACCGAATTGCTTTTTTTTTTTTTTTTTTTGCGTAGAAACCGTAATTTTAATTGTAAAAATTGTTTTAACGGTATTTGGTGTTTTATGTTCTTCTATATATTTCAAATTTTAATGAAGATATGTTGAATTCATGTATTCTTTCTTGCTTTGCCACGAAGCGAGAACTGAATTAATTGAATGAGAAATATATCTCATTCAATTAATTCAGTTCGAATTTCGAGAAAATAATTTAAATGAAAGGCAGCAAAAAAATGTGCATAATTTAATATTCCATACAGGGAAGGTCATGTGGTGTCCGCATCAGATTTTGAGTAATATAAGTACTTTATAACTTACTTACTACTTTTGCGACTTTTACTGACTATTTTTAGTTCGTAGATAACAGTTTCCTTCATTAACTGATTTCTTTTTAATAATTATGTATTTTAACAGAAAAAGCTCTAAATGGCTCACTTGCTCAGTTCATTGGAGATGGTCACCTAGCTGTTGTTGGCTTTATTGGATTGTACTTCCTGTACTTGGTGAAGTATCCAGAAGAACAAGAAAAAATATACAAAGAAATACTAGAAGTCGTTGGTGCAGATAGGCAACCAAGCATAGAAGACAAAAGCAATCTACCCTATACCAACGCATTCATATATGAAGTTTTAAGATCAGCAGAGTTTGTCCCCTTTTTTCCTAGCCTCTTGTGCACAAGTAAGTAAAAACGAACATATATAATATGATCAAAATTACTCTGAATATTTAAGTAAAAAATAATTACTTCAGTTAAAAAAAGTAGATGGTTATGCCAGTTCTGTGAGGACGCACGTTTATGTTTTTTATAAATAAGTTCGTAAACGAAGCGACGTGTAATAAATAGACAGTATTGTCAAAATGGAGAATGATAATGTTTCCCATTTTCTCAGACTCTTAAACTTTGCAAATAAACCTTTGTAATATTCAGAGTTCATTGTAGTGTGATCGCCAACTCACTTTGTACAATTTCATCAAGGTAACAAGACAGAATCAACACTTTTTACTTCCTTGTACGAAGTAAAAAGGAAGTATTGTAATAGCGAAAAGTTTCAGGCAACATATTTCAACGAAAATATCCATTTTGACAGCTATCGAATGCAATTAACGATGTTTTTGCGTGATATCTGTACGTAAGAACAGAATAAAAGACTCTTTTCCTTCAAAAAAATTATAAAACTGCTTTGAAATTAATTCTGAAGAGAATTTTTCGTGGCGTCTGTACGAACGTATGTACGTATCTCGCATAACTCAAAAACGAGTACCCTCAGAACGTTGAAATTTTTTATATAGGACTGCTATAACATGTGGATGTGCACCTCGTATTTTGGTTGCAATCGGACCCACCAAACGTATATAAATATATTTATATATATATCCACTCTGTTACCCGGCTCAGTAATCTCAGTTTCTTTACTCTTATATGTTTGTAAATTGTACATTTTTTTTTGCTTTCAAAATGATTGAATAATGTTATTTTTATCTTCCGGTTAAGGTTTTTATGCGTTTAGTAAATCTGTAAGCAATATTTTTAGAATTATTAACAATTTTAAAGTTGTCTAAGTGCCACTAGGCCTTTTTTTAATGGCGGCCATTGATGTTTACATTTGAAACAGGAGACTAGTGGATTTGTTGCCAATCTAGAGAAACTTAGCTTCGCAACAACAAAGATAACGCATTCATTTATTATTGCCAATTAAATCATGCTTAATTCTTTCTGGAATTTTTTCGAGGGAATAAGTGTTTAAGATTTACTTCGTAATTTTTAATATAGATATTTAGAGTTTTTATGTATTTTGCCTTCTCGCGAAGTGAGAACTGAATTAATTAAATGAGAAAATACTCAATCGTCTGTGGAAAAACGGTTTTTCTTTTTTGTTTTGTTTGCTTAATTTCTTTTATACATCATTCTAGCTTTATTACAGTATTTGAATAGAACAGGTGGCAACGATTAGATAATTCTATTCTTTAAATGATATAAATTTTTGTGCATTATGAGTTATAATATGAACCAACTATTTAACTGTTATTAATATTAACTTTCTTTTAACTTTATTTCTGTTGTTTTCAAATGTTTAAGGCTGGAAAATCAAAGATTTTTTTTTAGTCCAAGGGATTTGAATCCCGAAGGATTATTAGTTTCGTTTTGGCATTTTGCGTCGGACTCATAAATGTCGGTTCACTTTTCAAACTGTTGCCATAAAATGTTAGAGTCCTGCATTATATTTGAAGAAATTAAATAATGAAAAATCTGCGTAAATGTATGTATATTTCTCGTATTGTCATAAAACAACGGTACATAGAGTCATCGAATTTTGAATAACGTAATCCTCCAACGAATATGAGCATGTGGAAGACCAAATTTGAAATTTGAAATTTGTTTTATGATCGATTTCCTATTTTTTAAAACTTTGACGAATTTTTGATTAACAAACTCAAGGATTTCAAAGCGAGCAATGGCAACGTTGTGCAGAAAAAACATTTTTATCTCCAGCGCGTGAGTCTCTGTATCGGAAATTCTAAAGATATGCTCGTTTTAAAACTATTTTGCGATATTGCTGTTGCACTGGATCTTATGGTTTAAGTGCGAGGAACATGATATTTAATAAAGAAAGGTAACACACAAAATGTTAAAAAAACGCCCCTTTGGACGTAATTTAAAATCTGAAACATTTCAGATTTTTTTTTTTTTTTTTTTTTTTTACTAAATAATTTAATTATATAAAACTTAGTTTTTTGTGGCATTATTCAACAACTCTTTTCCACACGTTTTTTTCAAACAAAATTTTAAAAATGTGAAGTACTGCATTATAGTTTATATACGATTTAAGTTTGAATTAAAATATTCAATTCTTTTAAAATGTTGTAAGGATGGTTTTTAATTCGATATTCAATTTCAGTAACATTTTAATCTAATTAAACGTTGGCACAATGTTTTTATAGCGGTGTTTTAATTCTCTGTTTTGCTATATGAAAGTAATAATAGCCTTACTTTAGTATTTTATACTCATAGTAAATGTGTTTATTTACACTTGCCTGCCGTCTTAAAAAACGACATTTTCAACAAAAAATTAATCCATTACTTAACGATTTATTATTATTTACGATATTTATTTTTTTTTAAGTTTCGAATACTTTACTATGCGTAAAAACAGCGTTTTTCAAGATGGCTGACGATTGTAAAAATCGCGCCAACAATTGCGCCAACGTAAATCGCCAAAAATCCGTGCAACCGTCTACCAAAGTAGCACCTTACAATTAAATAGCTCCTTCACAAAATATAAATTGAGTTTCATTGAAACGTGAAAATTTTCATTTATTTCAGGGGAAGCTAATTTGAGAGGTTATAGAATTCCTAAAGGATCTATAACTTTGACCAATTTCTGGTCATCTTACCATGATCCTGAAACTTTCGAAGATCCATATAAGTTTGATCCATCTAGATACTTATCGTCTGCAGGTAAAACAAGAGCAGAACTTCCAATTTCATTTGGAACAGGTATGTATTCGCTCTCTCTCTCTCTCTCTCTCTGTATATATATATATATATATATATATATATCAAGCAAGGTAGTAATTATAATTTTAAAAAAACATCTAGAAAACATCTTGCGCAATATGCTGCAAAATAAGTAAAATATAAAAAAATATATTTCAAGGTATATTTCCCTTGAAAAGCCAGTTTGGAAGTCGAATTGGGCTAATTTACCATTTTCCGCTTAACTTTTTATCTGATTCTCTTTTTTTAATGTTTTACATGTCTAATGGTTGATTTTCATATGTATTAATTTTTTAAAACGTGTTGAACTTTTTGGAGCAGCAGCTCTTGGTAACTTTTAGGCGAGCTTACTACAATTTATATATATATATATATATATATATATATACTCTAAAAAATAGTCATCATTGAAGCAATAACAATTAAAAAGGGAAAGAGACTAATCTACCCTGTAGCTGCTAGATGATAATAACTCAAAAAGTAGCGGTGGAAAAGAAAATTAAATTAAAATTCGTTTCCAAAAATTTAAAGGTCTAACTTCCTCTTTTCGGATAAAGGTTACCAAACTGAATAAACGCAAATAAAAAAAAGAAATTCAAAAACGGAATCATTAATTTTTTTATTATTATTTTAGAGCATGAGACATAACAAAACAAAGTGCAAAATAATTTTGCTCTAAAAAAATTATTATTAACCTCCTCTGTTTAACGCTTCAAAACAGGACTTGTCAAGGAAACTTCTCATTTCATGTAATTAGTTTGTTTTTTTTTTTTTTTTTTTTTCTATTTTTTTGGTTTTTGTACTATTTTAAGTGTTTGTATTTCATTTTTGGATGTTCATTTTTTGCATTGTTGTTTACTTTGAGTACGAATGCATGTAAGGCAAAGATTTGAACATTTGAAACTAATTAGAAATTTCTTTTAAAATTATGTTTTAGTAATGAAAAGCGGTTTTAAGACTCTGGTTCAGAGGAACAAAACATGTAGTCAGAACTCATTGATCAACTTGGTTTAAAGCTTCGAAACACTTTGCCCTTGACAAGTTCAGTTTTGAAGCGTTAAACAAAGGCGATTGATAATTCTTTTGTCTCATGTTCTATCATTAAAAAATATGAACTTTTAATTTTCTTTTAACGATTCCGTTTTTGAATGTTTCCTTAATTTGCCGTTATTCACTTTGTGAATCATTACTCGGAGAGAGAAAGTTAGACTTTTTGGAACAGAATTTTTATTTAATTTTCGTCTTGACCTTTACTTTTTAAGTATATATATATATACTAAAGAAATATTGATTATATTATCTCTTAATATTAATTTTAGTAATATATATATAATTTATTTACTAAAGAAATATTGATTATATTATCTCCTAATATTAATTTCAGTAGAAGTATCTAAAAAGAGTGAACCCATAGGTAGGACGTTTAATTCGAAAATTGTTTATAAAGTAGCTTGAATGTAAATTTTTTAAAATGTTTTACCGGGACTTAAAGTAAATCATGAATAACAAAATTTTAATTGGAAAAAGAAATTAAATTAAAAGCAAGCAGTTATTGCTATTGATCGGAAATTAGTTGACTTTTCAAGGGGAACAAACCAACTCCCGTTCAATGAACAATAATTAATAAATAAATACGAAGGTGTTTCGTCTTTTACTCAAGTAATAATGGTGATGCCAAACTGGCAAATTAAGTTAATTTCGGTGAAGTGAAGGTATTTAGAACCAAAGTAGAGTACCAAAGAATTCATTCTTATTAAACATTTACGCTAATACAATTTTGAGTGAAAAGCAATTTATGTAAAAAAATTTATAAAATACTTGAGTAATTGTCCCCCGACACCCTCGTTTTTGTGCATTTTAATTCAATATATATATATGCGAAATGGTTCTATAACTAATTTTTAAAAAATTTCAGAAAAGTTGTTGCACGTAAGCTTACAACATTTATTATTACAACATCCCCACTTGTGTTCCATAAAGTATTATATGTTGCGGCCAGAATTCTGCATGCAGTTAATGGTTTGCTTTGATCTGTGAACATCTGAAGTTATGCATTAGGCAGTTGAGTATAAAGATTTGCTGTAGAGGGCAAAAAATAGCAACGGGAGACATTTGAAATATGTAAAGCTTAAGAAGATTGAAGACATTAACCCTCTGAGAGGCCAGGATTTTCGCAAAGAAAGCACTAATTTCCCCAAATCACCATGAGAACAAATTATTTTTTTGATTTTTTAATGTAAAACCTCTCCTGGTATTATATACCTGGATATGTGTACTTTTGATATATTGCCTTTATTTCTTTGACATATTTTAATATGCACGTATATATACGTTCTTACAGACATCACAAAATGTATTCTAGGACGTATATATACGGCTTAAGACGATTCAAAATTTGTCCTTGGTTAAGGAAAATATTGTGACGGGAGCGAAGATGTTTGTCATGAAACTGGGAATCTAATCACCCATTTTTCAAACGAAAGATAGCATCGAAGGTATTTGACAGTTGCTGAAATCATCGTCATTTGTCTCTTCAAATGACACCTGTTGACTTTAGCATCAGGAGAGGCGCTTCTTACGAAACTGTTGATCAAACATAAATTTCAGGACAAAAGGAAGAGATTGAATTTCTGCTCATTATGATTTGATTCAAACGGCAGGCATTACTCTGAATTTTTTTTAAGTGGGTTGTGAATGGGGATGAAAACTGTTACTTTTCTTATCAGCTTGAGGTAGCATGTGAATCATCTGCTTGGATTAAATATAGTTCACCGTGGTCACACAAACTTTATTTCAGGAAATCTCGAGTAAAGACCCCATTGGCGCCCTTGAATCGGAAAGAGGAAATTTTCAAGGGATTTGTTCCTGAGGATTCCACCACTCCCTAAGCAAATAATCTAACAACTGGAACTACTGCAGCAGCAGAATGCATTACATAACGGCGAAAGTGGTTGCCGTACATATGAACTCCTCAAAGTAACGACGGATAGGTTGTTCTCGGAACCACAATTCACAAGTTATGTAAGCGGCATGGTCCCCTTGATATCCTAATTACAAGAGACACTCAATCTCAGAAACTGATTTTTGTGCCTGGGGGGGGGAATCTTCCAGTGCCCTATACCTGCTCCTTGACAGCTGAACATCATATCCATCCATCTGCTATCAAAAATCCATCTAGCATATAAAAGATATTGTTACGAAATGTAAAGGCGCGGTGAGATGGCTTCCCCGCAAAGCAGTTTTAGGGTTGTCATAAAATGGTAAAGCAGGGCAGGGTTGCCATATCTGGCGAAAAATTGCCCATTTGGCGACATTTGGTGACAAAATTGGCGATATATCATGGACGGTTGGAGAACCTTCTGGAACGAATTCTTACCGGTTTAGCCCGGAATGTTCCCGAACACAAGCCGAAAGCTACATAAACCCTGCTGGTCTGCAGTCAGTTAGTGTGTGTGCCTCGTCTAGAGAGCTGATAGTCAGTCATTGAGCAAGTGTCTCGAAGTCTAGCGCCGAGGTGGTCGTCGAATGCATCGAGAGAGTCTTTTAGTGCATCGCCGAGTTTCGTCATAGACTGTGCTGAGTCGAGAGCTATACTCTTCTGTACCGTCGAGTGCATCGTGTGGAGAGTCTCGAGAGTACGTGGAGTTCCGAGAACAACCAAGCAGAGTTGGGAGCTGTACTCGGGTGCTTTGCAGTGAAGCTGTCTCCACCGTTATTGCCTGACAGTGTGAAGTCTGTGTCACTGATTGTTCCAACGTGTTTGTAGTTGATCTCCGACGACTGTAAAAAGTGTTTTTTAGAGCTGTCCTGATTAACATTGGCTAAATAAAGTGTGTTTCGATACTTCATCAAGTGTCGTCGTTATTCACTCCAAATCCACGAACCCCGTACGAACGTGAACGAAGAAAATAACGCAACAGCTGGTGTCAGAAAAGGAAAAACGTAACAATATATATATTAAAATATTAAAAACTCCAGCGTTGTGACAATGCAAAATAAAAATCATCAATGTCCTAACATCGATAGGGAAGTGATTAATTGTGACTACTTAAGTATACGCAATACGCATATAAATGAAGCTGATACGTTATATATGTTATGTTCTCAAGCTCCTGAGTGTATGTAATTAATTGACTATAATCTCTTTTAGTTTTATTTAATTTGGAAACTTCCTCTCTATCTACAAATAGCGCCATAAGTCCAAATTGCGTCATTCAAATTAATCATGCGGTCTTACGTAACGCTCAATGCAGATGCCCCTTGACCAGTCACCAAATTGTAAAGCAAAACTTAAAATTTAAACCTTTGACTCCCTTCCTTCTTCCTCTGCATTACTACTGCGACACTCTTTCCCTTTTCGCTTATGCTTTAATCCTGTTAAGACTCTGCAGCAATCATCTATGTTCGCTTCTATCGCAATAGTATCAAAATTGTTCTGGAAATAGGCAAGTTTGGAGTGCTAATCGAATTGTGACCACAAATAAGAATTTAAATAAATATAGAATTTAATCTGGCTCGGCTGCTTCTTTTTCGAAATGGATGGACGCTCTAAGCATCAAATATCTTCACAATCAGTCTTTCTACGCATCTACATCTCAACGGTCTTACATCAGTGCTTGCAAAATTATGGTGTATTACATTTTTACTCGTACATGATTGGATTACGTGCTACTAACCTCAAATGGAACATTTATTCCTCAGCTGGATTTCTGTTAAATATTATCTGCGAATTCATCATTCTAAAAGTTAGCTATCATCAAGTATTCAAATATGTTATCTCAAATTGCTTGCTGTTCTCAAGCTCAGAAACTTTTCTAGCTCAAATCAGACTTCTGTATTCCAGCTTAATTCCGACACGTATCACCTGTTCCTGACATTATATTTCCTGTTCCTGAAATCCTATTGGTGAATTCCGAATTCTATAAGGACATTAGAAAAGATTTCAGCATATCAGGACTGGTTTGGTTTTGTTTATTTAATTATGGCAAAGCACACTAGGGCTATCTGCCTAAGGGAAGGGATGCCTTCGTGGAGGACATCTAACGGAAACTGGCTCGTATACACATTACACATGGGGAAAACCACGAAAACGCCCATGCAGCCAGCCCGTTCGCGGGATTCGAACCTGGGACGGAACTACCAATGTTCAACGATTTTATCCCTCGGCCGCTGGTGGTCCCATATTAGGACTGAAAACGCTTAATCGAATAATCAGTTCCTCCTGCTCAACAATGAGTCACCACACTTGTTTATTCTTTTCAAGTAGTTTTTTATCAAAGAAGAATGTCACAGATCTCAAGCACTGCTTCTTCACCAAATTTTTCATCTTTCATCTGCACATTAATTTTCTGCCCTAAAAGGAAGTCTCACACCATACATGTTATTATTTTAATAACACTGAAGAGATCTGGAAACCGTAAACAGAAACTTAAACACAAATACAATACCTAAGTTCTACACACGAGCTGTTTTGAACGTGCCAAGCATTGTATAGACTTATAAAGACTGTATTTTAAAGGCTAAGAAGTAAAAATGTTGTTTTCTTCGACGTTCAATTTTATGTAAATTAAGTCCTAAAACTTCGAAGACGCATTGTACATATTTACTCATTAATGTTGTTTCGTGCTTTTGGTGTTGCGTGAAGAGCATACCGTAATTTTGAGGTTAAATTACACAAAGCACTTTTGAAGGATGCTACAGAAACTCCCTGCAACAAATATAATTAAAAAGGGGAAAAACTTTGAACTTTCAACTTTCAGGAATCTCTGCAATCTTTGATACGAGAACAGCAGTAAGGAAAGTCTTATGTTAAAGATAATAATGATCTCATTGTAAATACATGACCATGACGATGGCTGCTATGTTCTGATACTCTTGTACTCGGAAATCGTGAAATAACATCGACCTTGTCGACCCCACTGCATCTTGGAAAAACGATGCAAAGGAGAGTCATGTGCACTTTACATGAATTCGAACTAGTAGCGTTATTCGGAAGGTGCCTGAATTCAATTCATGGATCCCGAATTACAGTATTTTGTAACGTCAGAACACCCGTGTTGGGTGAAAGAAAAGACGGGTTGTCTTTTAAAATATTTATTTTAAAAACCTAATAAGAAACTCTTGGATAAATATTAAAATAATTGAATCATTTTAGCCATAATTCATACAAAGGCCGCTGACGCGGCTAAAATGCGTCTGCTTTCACTCGTTTACAGCATCAAAAGCTTTTTACACAAAGCTCTCTCCTCGGTTTGTTAAAAACCTGGAAAGAGAATAATTATTCCCTTATGTCCGGAAACCACACTAGGGGGTTTTCCGCTGCACCTTTCTTCCAAAGGTCTGCTGCCCATTCTGTGGCTGAGAAATAGATATCTCTCATTAAGCACCTGGAAGTCCGAGGGGTGCATATGTCTGAACGTCACAATTTCCTTGCAGATTTTAACCCTTTTTTCACCTAATTTTACCGTTTGAAAGTCGGGAGAGAAAATTGGGCGAGTCATTTAATTTGCGAAGTAAGCGCCTACAATAAGAGCATAACAAATAAAAGTGGATTAATTAGTGGATAAACCACTAATTATCATCACAATTGTAATGTTGTTATTTTTAAAGAAAACTTCAATACGAATATGTAATAACAGTTTCATTACAATATCTGACGGATGTTGAGCCAATATTTTACGACTCTCTGACAGCGATGGAGTTCGTCACCGGCTCCATTACCTTGTAAAGCCCCAGTGGCACCTTACATAAGCGAGTCTTGACTGCAGTTCCCAAGAGGGACGGTGGAGGAACCCAGCAGAAGGGTGCGAACAAAAGACCTGCATTTCGAAAGCTAGAAGACATCAGCAGCAGATAAGGCTGCAATTAGTTGAAACGTAACTAATAGGAATAAAGTGATATCACTGGTATCAGAACACTTGCCATGTCCGGGTAGTTTAAGGAGTCTCATACACCTTAAACCTTTCATGATCTTCGAATGTGTAACTGTTGCAAGAATTTGGATATTTTATTTATTTTAAAAGCAATTACTTCCAACCTTTTACAGCTGACTACATAATATAGCTGCTTTGGAAACTAGTAACCAGAAAGTTTGTGTTGCACAAATATTTTTGTAATTTAATCCTCTTGTGACAAAATATTTCGCCATGTTTCCACCTTGCGCGCATGATATTTAAAAATGGCTAGTGTACATACTCGAAATTTGATGGAATTCTTTATATGGGCACATTTTCTAATGAACCAAAAATCTGATGAATTTTTAATATTGAAAAATTTATGAACGAAAACATTACAATTTTTTTAATAAAATACATTTTATAACTCAACTCAAAATAAAATAAAAATTTAACACGAAATTTTAGAATTTTAGGTCACAGTAGTTTCCAAATGTGATAAAAGCTTATATTAAATATAGAATTAAATTATGCAACAGAAGTTTTAAACTGTGCGCACAAGTGGAAGCATGACGAAAAAATGTGTCACAAAGCGGATTAAATTATAAAAATATTTTGGACAAACAAACTTTCTGATGACTATTTCAGAAAGCAGCTATATTATATAGTCACTGTAAAAAGTTGGAAGTAATTCCTTTTAAAATAAATAAGTTATCCCAATTCTTGCAACAGTCACCTATTCGAAGATCTTATGGGTTTTAAGGTGTATCAGTCCCCTTAACAAAGAATTTTCGCAAAATACGTTGTAAGATTCTCACTAGTGTAATTCTCAGTTACTGTATAAAGTGACTAATCTTAAGAACTAGTTAGCGAATAATCGCTTAAGTTCATGTGACAAGAAACAACAAGAAGGAAGGGTAACTAACCCTTTATTATTCCAATAAGATTTAACAAAACTCCGTCTTGGAGTGTACAATAAAAGCCGATACTTGGGCTTGAACTTAAGACACTAAGAAATAAACTAAAACTAAGATTAACTAAAGAAATATAGCCGAAGCTATCAAGATTCTAATGCAGTTGACCCCTTAAATACCAGATGAGATGACTGTGAAGCTATCAAAGGGCCTGAGTACGGCCGAGCGTAATAACAGCTTTGAGAGAGAGAGTAGCCAAAAGGCAGACGCGCGTAAATCAAAAACTCTGATCTCTAACTCTGTAAGTGGACTTCGCGGAGGTTTAAATACCGCTTCTCCTCATTAAGTATTCAGAAGGATTCCAAAACTAAGTTCTGGCCGGAAGTGGTAAGTCGAAGTTAAGAATTTGACAGGAAAGGAACTTTAACTTGAAATTTATCTGTTAATAAAATTAACATAATCCCTACAACGTTTCAATAATAAATGCAAGGCAAAATAAAATGGATGAAATAGTAATTACAAAAATGCAAATACAAATTGGGTATACTGAAAAATTAAAATGATCAGCGGAATACATTTTACCAATAAACTAGCCCTCGAAGAAAAATCTATGCACAATAGAGAAAGGGAAAAATTACGTAAATATTCAGAACCTATCTTTAAGATGCTAGGGAGGGAAACTGTATATCTTTTTAAATTGTTGCTTTAAATTCCTATTTTTAATTTAATTTATTTTATTTTTAGGCAAACGTTCTTGTTTGGGAGAAGCTTACGCTATGACTCAAGTTTTCCTCTTCCTTACACCTGTTGTCCAAAACTTTCGCCTGGCTTTACCCGAAGGAGAAGATTATTCCACAACTGCATTCTCACTGAAGTTGAAAATCAGCGCAATTCCTCGATAATTAACTGAAGGAGAAACTGAACAGTAACTGGAACTTTAGCCTAATGTATTAAGAAATACTGGCTATTGCTTCGAGAAGACCTACATATTGAGTTACACAAATTTTTATCTTTTAATTTTTATTACCAAGATCACGTATACAAATTATTATCAAAATGGCTTTGTTAGTTTTCCTGCTGTTTAATTGTTTACATAGTTTAGCATATTCAAAAAGTTTTTTTAATGTTTTTCGAATTTAAGAAATTTGTTCTACCCCAGATGGTATAAGAAAAATTTTCGGTAGCATCAAATTCGGCTAAGCCAACATTTGGCTTACCGAACTGCAATTTTAAATTCATGTAAACGTGCGTGTACTTATATGTATGTGTAAAACAAGGGGGTCTGTGTTTATTTGTAATACCTTTAACTTCCCCTATTTAACTCTTCAATGCATGATTTCAGTTTATGAAAATTTAAATAAAAATGACATATCAAATGTTTTGTACATGTACATTTATTGTGCAATTTACGTTGTATGGGAAATTTTGAAACAATTTCTGTTCTTCTTTAGACATAACGCTATAGCACATTTTTCACATCCAATCCATCACATGTTTGGAATTTACATAGCATTTTACAACGAGTGCGATCATCGTTCCATAAGGGAAAATGTTGCATTTTATCCTGTCTGACGCAGGTTGGAGGAATGTTTGATACAGGGCCACTCTGTCTTTTCACATTGTAATCATTTTGTAAATGATCTTCCACGCTTAGGAACTGAGTTTTCACCCATTTTACACAGTTTAACAGATAGCTCAACCCAAAAGGCGGCCTAGTTTAGAAAATCCTTGGAGTTGGCTCCATTCTGCAGAGTTAGATTATAAGGTATTTCTCCCACTTCCCTAGCGTGCCTTCGTGGTGTTAGTGGTCAGCACGCCTGAGCTGGTATTTCAGAAGTCCATGGTTCGGTTCCCGGCGAAGGCAGTTGCATATTTTTCATCTTTCCTGCTTACAATAAACCTAATGTCTCTACAAGTGGCGCTCGAACTAAAAGGGTTGTGGATGATGAATTCTCCGTACCCAAGATTTGGCGACTAGGTCCCCTAAAACCCTAGTCGCCCTTTAAGGGGGCTCATACACCTTAAACCCCTTAACACTCTTCGAATATGTGACTGTTGCAAGAATGAGATATTTTATTTATTTTAAAATTAATTACTTCCAACCTTTTTACAGCTGACTACATAATATAGATGCTTTGGGAACTAGTTATCAGAAAGTTTGTGTTGGTCACAAATATTTTTGGACTTTAATACGCTTTGTGACAAAAGTTTTCGTCGTGTTTCCACCTTGCGCGCACGATATTTTTAAAATGGCTAATGGTGCATACTTGAAAGTTGGATGGAATTCTTTATATGGGCACCATTTTTTAACTGAATTCAAAATCTGATGAATATTTTTATATCATTAAAAATTTTATGCACGGAAAACATTAAAGATTTTTTTAATAAAATACATTTTATAAACTCGACTCCAAATAAAATAAAAACTTAACAGGAAATTCTTAGAATTTTGGTTCAAAGTAGTTTCCAAATGTTATAAAAGCTATATATTAAATATAGAATTAAATTATGCAACAGAATATTTTAAACTGTGCGCGCAAGGTGGAAACATGACGAAAAATGTTGTCACAAAGCGGATTAAATTATAAAAATATTTGTGGCAACACAAACTTTCTGATATGACATTTCAGAAAGCAGCTATATTATGTAGTAGCTGTAAAAAGTTGGAAGTAATTCCTTTTAAAATAAATAAGTTATCCCAATTCTTGCAACAGTCACCTATTCGAAGATCTTATGGGTATTAAGGTGTAAGAGTCCCCTTAAAAAGGGGAGTATATAAGGTATTTCTCCCACTTCCCTAGCATGCCTTCGTGGTGTAGTGGTTCAGCACCCTGGGCCGGTATTCCAGAGGTCCATGGTTCGATTCCCGGCGAAGGCGGTTGCATATTTTTCATCTTTTCTGCTTCCAATTAACCTAATGACTCTACAAGATCACTATCATTATCTCTTTCCATGAGTTAAAAATCATCTTCACAGTCAGATGGCCACGTTGTCCCATATTTCTCTTATTTCTTCGTCATTCAAATATTTTTTCCCTCGCTCATCTACCAAGCTCACTCATATTAAAAAAATTAGTTTAATTTTAAACTGAAATTCTATCATAAAGTAAATCATAGTAATCATAGTATCATAGTAAAATAAACTAGAAAATTCAAGTTTTAATTGTTGGGGAGAATTATGTAAATCACAAGTACGCACCAATTTAAAATGGTTTGAAAACAAATTACCCACTAAATGAACATAAATTTTTTAAAAAATCAAAGGAATTTTCAATACAAACAGTATACATGCAACATAATTGGAGACATAAAATTAATAATTTATAACTCTAAGTAACAACAATGCATGCAGATATCGAGTGGGTACTGCTGATATGAAAATAAACATGAAATGAAAGGTACTCTAAATTTTAACCTGATTCATATATGCATCAGACTGCACTCTAGAGTGAAGCCTAATCATAAATGCATATATGAATCAAGCAGAAAAATCGAAATATTTCATTTTAAAACAATTCTGTGATTAAATCTTAACATAGAAATGGAAAGCACATACCTTCAGCTATATACTGTAAAATATTTAAGCATCTAATATCTAATTTATGAATAATACACAGCTAGCTTGACCACTGTAGAAACAGAAATGAATTCTGTGTTCCTGGCACTAATGAAATAAAGAGTACAGTTTTATGCCGCTGTCTACTGGGATAATGAATACCTAAATATTGATATGGATATATTAAGATAAAAATCAGCTCAGTAAACCGTTTGCTTTGCAATTTTTGTAATGCTAAATTCAGCTAAAATTGGTATTTTTCATATATGCATCACTATGTATTGAAGGGTTAATTTGACTGTTTCCTGTTCATATACTAAAAGTAACAATCTAATTATATTAAATCTTTCTAAATTAGGTCATTTCAAACAATTTTTGTCATCGTGTATGTGGCTAATAATATAGATATTTGCTTAACAATTCAACCAATAATAGTGAAAAAAATTGAAAAGTGAAACCTAAATTATTCAATAGAAATGAAGATCTAGCCAAACCTCTACTATTTCTACCCAAACCTTCTATGTCATCTAGAAATTTCCCCTATATTTCTTTCTTTATAAGTTTCCTTTTTAAAAAAAAGGGAAAGGCAAAAAAAATTCTAAAAGAGCAGGCACAGTTTTTGCGTTAGTTTAGCAGCGTTGGGCTGCATCAGGAATGCTTTTTGAACAATAAAAGAAAGTGTTCTCGTGGCCCCACTTGTACCTATATATTTCAATATGTACGTAAATATGTATAGGATGATTCAGAAATACCTAATAAAAATGTAAAGGCGGGTAAAGAGGGCCGAAATAAGTCAATTTTAACGTGGTGAGGGATAGCGTAACGTAACGTGGTGAGGGATGGCGCGTATAAGTGATAGCCAGCTCTGTTGAATGTAGATAAAACCGTTGTACTGTCTTAAATCGCAGCCATATATTTATTAAAATAGTAGTCATGTACTTATTCAAATCATATATTTATTCAAATCGTATATATACTTATTCAAATCGTCATGTACTTATTCAAATCGCATCATATACTTCTTCAAACTCGTATTCATATCTATTCAAATCGTAGTCATGTACTTATTCAAATCATAGTCATATACTTATTAAAATCGTAGTCATATACTATTCAAATCGTAGTCATGTACTTATTCAATCATAGTCTATATTTATTCAATCGTAGTCATATCTTATTCAAATCGTAGTCATGTACTTATTCAAATCATAGTCATATACTTATTAAAATCGTAGTCATATACTTATTCAAATCGTAGTCATGTACTTATTCAAATCATAGTCATATATTTATTCAAATCGTAGTCATATCTTATTCAAATCGTAGTCATGTACTTATTCAAATCATAGTCATATACTTATTAAAATCGTAGTCATATACTTATTCAAATCGTAGTCATGTACTTATTCAAATCATAGTCATAATTATTCAAACGTATCATATCTTATTCAAATCGTAGTCAGTACTTATTCAAATCATAGTCATATACTTATTAAATCGTAGTCATATACTTATTCAAATCGTAGTCATGTCTTATTATAAAATCGTAGTCATATCTTACTTCATCAGAGTCATATACTTATTAAAATCGTAGTCATATACTTATTCAAATAGTAGTCATGTACTTATTCAAATCGTAGTCATGTACTTATTCAAATCATAGTCATATATTTATTCAAATTGTAGTCATATCTTATTCAAATCGTAGTCATGTACTTATTCAAATCATAGTCATATACTTATTAAAATCGTAGTCATATACTTATTCAAATCGTAGTCATGTACTTATTCAAATCATAGTCATATATTTATTCAAATCGTAGTCATATCTTATTCAAATCGTAGTCATGTACTTATTCAAATCATAGTCATATACTTATTAAAATCGTAGTCATATACTTATTCAAATCGTAGTCATGTACTTATTCAAATCGCAGTCATATACTTATTCAAATCGTAGTCATATCTTATTCAAATCGTAGTCATGTACTTATTCAAATCATAGTCATATACTTATTAAAATCGTAGTCATATACTTATTCAAATCGTAGTCATGTACTTATTCAAATCGCAGTCATATACTTATTCAAATCGTAGTCATATACTTATTCAAATCGTAGTCATGTACTTATTATACTGCAATTATTCTGGCAGTTATAGAAGGGTTTTAGATGACGAAAATGTATGTTTGGGCGATGTCAAATTACAAAAAAAAAAAAAAAAAAAAAAAAAAAATTATTTGAGACAGATAACGAAATTTAACTTTTAATGCGGTCTTCCGGTTCCTTTCCTGGCATTTTGGGAAAGTTTCATTCTCGTTATGAAACATAAAACTGTAAAAAGTTTGGCTCCTTCCATCCCTGGATTCAAGTTTTAGTCGCAAGACTCTTCCCCCCCGCCCATCCCCAAGGCATTAGCAATCACTGCGGCTATCCGTACTACCTAATTTACCTTTCCCAAGCCTTGGAACAATATGTTTCCCGGCTGTTTGTCTTCCAACCTATCCGATTCCATTAACGCAGTGCGTTCAGGAATTCGCCTTAATCATCACCCCTCTTTCAATCTTGAAAACAAGTTGAAAGCAGAAAGAATTTCTCGTCCCTAGCGTGGACTTCTTATTCACTTCTCTCTCAGTAAACCCTTAACGGTTTCGTTCATCTTCCTTTAGCCATTGCTCTTTCTTAATTACCTCAGTTTTCTTATCGAAGTTATGGAGGTAATTGCATTAAGTTGCAAAGGTACTCCGGAAGTCAAACGCCTTGGGCCGTACAACAAAAATTGACCGCGATGTTTAATTTCTGTGAGGGGGTCGTTTTAGATA